CCTAACAAATTAACAACCTTTATAATGCTTCGTAACAAATAACAATGCTATACATTAATTCTCCCCCAAACTCTTAATTGATGTATAGGTAGTTAATTTGAGAAGTTTGCCGTGATTATGGTAGTGAATTTCGTGGAGTTTTAGTTAATTTATCATATTTAGTTACTATATAGTTGCATGAAGTTATCAAGGAGAAACGAATTTTTTTTTCCTCTTGATATGAAATGAAGGGGTCAAGCCTGCTGCTTCTTAAAGATGTTTTGATGGTATACTAAATTTCGAATTTTAGTTTTCTGCTCTATGGCTGATAATTGTTTCTTCTCAATTTCTTTGTGATAAGCATTTGTGTACTGTGCTGTTTGACATTATTACATAATTGTAGCCGGTACAACGAAATGATTATCGAAGCTTTGTCAGCGTTGAAAGAGCCAAACGGATCAGATAACAGAGCAATTATCAGCTACATTGAGGTACCATGTAATTTTCATTTTTTCATCATTTCATGAACATTAATTTATTTTCCATGGAGAAAGGTACCTGTTTGGTTAGGAAAAGAACAGTTTGATTATCTCAAAAGTCTATGTGGACTTGTGTATGTCGAAGACTTATTTGCTGCTACTTTGTGTATATGTCTAGATTGATTTTGAGATATTGTCTCTAATCATCCTCGAGGTAAAAATGGCTGTTAAAAAATCCATACATCTCATTATTGATGCTAAGACTGAATTTGAGGAACAGTTGGATCTTAGGAAACCATGCATGTGGATTTCTGTTATGCTAGACAAGCTTCCCCTCTAAAGCAACTAAGTCAGGGACTCGGGGCCTAAGGTCCTGCTATGCATGTTAGGCTTGCTGCTAAAGGCTTTTCAAACCTGGAATTTTCTCAAGCTAGCTACAGCCTCCATGTAGCTCCTTTTCTTTTCCAAATCTTCATTTAAGGTGCACAGAAATACCAAATGATGGTTGACCATGAATACTAGGATGGTATTCAAAATTCCTGCTTCCTTACTGTTTTGATGTCTCTCTATCTTAATTGTTTGGGTTCTTATTTTCAGCATTGTAACTTAATTTCTCACTGGTTGTTTGCTTACATTATCAAAATCATGAGTATGTTCTTTCCTTAATAAATTATGCAGCAAAGGCAAGAGGTGCCTCAAAGCTTTAGGAAGCAGTTATGTTCAAGGTTGAAAAGGCTGGTTGCAGTAGAAAAACTAGAAAAGGTGAATGATTCTATCCTTCTTTTTACCCATGGCCATCTACTAGTTTTTGAAATGTTTAGTTTCAAGTTATTTAGATTACTATCAATATAATAATCGTTCATAATATAGGATTGCTGTAGATCCTATTTATAGGAGATAAATTAGGGAGATGACTTTGGGCTTCTTTGGTGCACAATGGTCCTGCACTTCTAGTTAGGGATCAAAATGGTCTGTTGATATGAGTTGTGAAGAAGAGTCTTCATGAACTTTTATCTGTTTTCATATGTCTTCATTGGAATAAAAGGAAAAATATAATTGGAGTCAAATTGCTGATAAAACTTCTTTTATAACAGAAAAACACATATCCTCCATCAATGTGATTTTCCGATTAGTGTTACCAGCAATTGACATCGTTCGAGGATATCAGCTTCTGATAGACTAATGGATGATTAATTTAACAGAGTATGACTAATTAGAACTTTTCTTGAATATCTTTGTTGCCTTGTGATGGCAAAATTTTATATATTGAGAAATTCCAGCCATTTAGATGGTGCAATTACTCATGCCCTCTATTCGACATATCATTCTATGGAGTAACATATAACTTTGGGGAGATGTACAACACTTATAATATTCTTATCATTGAAACTTTTACCAAGATATTTAATTAAAGTTACTTTTCTCAAAAGTTAATAGTTCAAATACCGTAGCGTTTCTTAGACTTTATTACAAATTTTTGTTGCCTTTTTGTGATTTCTGGCCCTCTTAGGCATTTTGCATTCGAAGCTTTACCCATTTCTTGATTTGAGAAGGCCCAAAATTTGTGCATAGAAAATATTAAAAAAATATGTATGCAAATTTGTAGTGATGATCACAAGTCTACCTGATACAATTCTAGCCACTAAGAATATATATTTCTGAGAAAGAAAAATGTTATGAGCCAAGAAAAAATTTATCGTAGTTGTGGCAGTATATACTGCTAAGAAATATACATTTCTGAGAACAAAAAAATGTGGGTGAGCCACGAAAGAATTTATTAAAGCTGTGGAAGTAAATTGTGTTTGCAGATTGTTCTGTTAGGGTAACTTTATAGTAGATCTGAAATATGAAATCTGTTTTGCTTTATTTATCATAATAATGCAGGTGCAGAATCGGTACAAGATAAGAAAAGATGAGACATTTGGGACGAAGACACCTAGCCCAAAACAGAAAGGAATGCGGCTTAAGCATGTAACTTGTGATTCAGTTGAAGAAGCTTCAGTAACTGCTGCCTATTTGATTGCTGAAGCAGAAAATAAGTCCTTTGTTGCAGCTGAAGCAGTTAAAGAGGCAGAAAGAGTCTCAAAAATGGCTGAAGATACAGATTCACTGCTGCAGTTGGCCAAAGAGATTTTTGAAACATGTAATGTATTATTATATTTCAAGCTCATATTTTTGCTTTATTAAGCATTATGTTTCCATTTCTTATAAATTTTGTATGTTTTATTGTTTCAGGTTCTCAAGGTGAAATTATGCTCATGGCATAGGAAATGTGGATTAACAGTAGAGATGACCCCTTGAATTAGAACATGTACATATTGTTGGTAGTGTTTTCTCTTCTTTCTCTTGGGATGTGACTTGACTAATTCATATGAGAGATTACTCCCCAGTTATTTGAATATTGTTGCGTCTTGCTAGTGCAGCAGAAAGTTCAATGTTCTCCATTCCGAATTCTCAAAGTTATCCGTACTTTCTTTTCCAGAGGACCACGCATTGACAGAAAGGAAAAGGAAAAATAAACTTTTGTACTTAAGTTCTAATACGTAAGTACATGTGTAAGACAAATTAATGATTAACGGGTTTTGCATGTGAGGAAGGTGCAAGTTGGGAAGCTAGGGTCAGGCTGGATTTGGTTACTTTGGGTCAATGGAAAATTGGGTCACCTCATCATCATCTTCCTGTTAACTAGGTTTGGATCGTTTTAAGTTAATTTTTAAAATCAAAATAGATTGGTATAGGGATGGATCGCTCAAGTTGAATGAGGCTTTATCAACTTTAAACAAAAATCAAAATAAATTTTTGAAACAAAAATCATCAGAAATCATTTTACATCAAATGCAAACAATTTGACTGAAAAATTCACTGATGATTTTTGATTGATTGATAGTATTTAATATCAAATATAACTCTAAAAGTTAAAAAGTGGCATTTAATTATTTTCTTTAATTTTATCGGTGTGATAGCTAAGCTTCTGTAATCAAATAAAGCTCTATCATATGTAAAAGATTTAATCAATTTCCAGCCAAAACTCAAAACCACCTATAACTTAAGCAAGTCAAACTCAAAGAAATCACTCTTCAAATTGACTTGTTTCATTTTCTTCGTAACATAACCAGAGGGGTATAGAGGCTTTTGT